AAGCATAATTGCTACTAATGGGGCAATGGTTGACAAAAAATCAATCAGAAAACATGCAGAAGCAAATTAGCATGTTTAAAACTCACTTACCTGTGAAAAAGAAGCGTGCAATTAGCAGAATTAGCAGAAATTAGTTGAATTCAGCGCAAAACAGCTGGAGAAGACACGTTTTCCACGCTCTTATAAGCCCTTTTTAGAAATGGAATTTTTAGTATATTATGTCCCAGGACAAAATAGCTCGTTCAGGTTTGGAATTGGCTCCACTGATGATGGCGATGTGTGGCTCGAGCGGATGTGACGGTGCCGCTTGTGGAGCGTGTGGTGCCTGTGGTGCATGTGGCGCTTGCGGTGGTTGCGGAGGTTGTGGTGGATGTGGTGGCTGCGGTGGATGTGGCTAGCCGCCACTCAACCTCTTTAGAACTTCTCTACCTTCCCAAACTAGTCAGTATCGAATGCCTGAACATCTTATTTTTTCCATTTTTAACATATTTTTCGCTTTTCATACCACTACCCGTACTTTCTTCCTTCTTCTTCCTCTCTCCTATTTAATATGTATCGATCGTTCGATTTTCTCCTCAGCCCACGCATTCCTTACAGAATCAAAGAGAATAGAATATTTTGAAGTATTTCTTCTTTGTTTTTTTAAACAGCTGGAAGAGAAATGTTGTTTGCGAATCTCGTGTCTGTTTTTGGTGCTCTTTTGAGGCATTTGTTGTATTTGTAAATATTTAGTTTCTTCAAAGCCGAGAATGTTCCAATTGCTGGAACTTCAATTTTTTTGTATTCTCGTCACTAGAATTTTTAATTACTACAAGAATGGATGAATTTTTCAAGATTGTTAACGACTATTCACTGAAATCATTTTACTCGAATCCGAAAAGTAAAACTAGGACATGTGAAAGTGTTTGAGGAAGTATTTACCCATGAGACGTGAGCAGAACTTCAGCAAGATGAGGCTCGATTGAATGAGTTATGATAGTAGCAAGCGGTGTACTCGGCTTGAACAGAAACGACCTGGCCCCCTCGCAGGCGTTGGAACAGACTCTCTGAGATATCGTAACCACGTATATGTACTGTAGCCTTAAAGGAATCTTCCACGGACCATGGACCAGTGGGCGGGACCGGAAGTTTTTGTGACGAAATGCATGGTAGGTACGGATCCACGTGTCGAACGCACGAACGTGAACAGGATTCACTTCAAACCTTCCCATGAACGTGGATCCGTACCTACCATGCATTTCGTCGCAAAACCACTTCCGGTCCCGCCCACTGGTCCATGGTCCGTGGAAGATTCCTTTAAGGTGATCTTCACTGACAACAAGCTCGAGATCGAGAACAATGGAGAAGAAGTTGAGAACCCCGCGCAAGGCCAACCGCCATGCCGACGGACGGGTCGCCTAAGTATTCTAAGTAAGTAATTAGCAAGCGGTGAGGCTGATGTCAGACTTGGTGGAGCGATTCGCTAACGCGCGCGATTGCGTCGCGAACAGGGACCAGAATTTCATGCTTCCGCTGGACCGCAAGCGGACGCGACGCTAGCGAATCAGCGAGTATCGCTCGATTTCGAGTCTGTGCATCGCCTGACAAAATAAACATGTAGAACCGCCTCCATTCGGAAATCGCTAATCGTCCGTCGCAGTCATCGATAACCTTGTACAAGATAGCTCCAATGATTCGACATGTTCAAACCAGCTCGGATTGCCGCTTATCTAGGATATTCCATATATTCCGAGGTTTGATGACTTTGATTTACCTTAAATCTCACAAATTTTTGGACCCAGTTAAGGTTGAGCTCTGCTTGCCAACGTTAGTACGCTAGACACAGCCATTTCACCTTTTGCTCCAACTACGATTCTAGCTTGTAGAGATGTAGGTCTATGTTACGAACGATGCGGGTCTTCAGGTCGCCATGGCCGTTCAAGGCGTGATGTGTTCCCCTGTTTGCGTCTTGAAAGGCTTATTTCAAATCAGCCTTCATCTGCTGAGCGATTACTCGAACGGAGTCAGGAAAGCGGCCTTAGTATCGGGTTTTCAAAGTTCTCTTCTTCACTTTGATAGGTGACAATTCTAAAAACATTTCACTGATTGGTCATTTAACTGATGCTTATCGATAGTTAGCCATTTATTGATTTAGGAAGATGTCCGGAACACCATTCTGCTCATGGTTTGCTCACAGTCATGCGTAAAGCAGTCCCCGCAGCTCGTCGTAAACTCATTCCTCGAGTAGCTGTGGGCAAGCTACGTTTATTTCACGGAATATTGCGTACAAAATAAAAGGCGTAACTCACAGAAGGGACCGAGCTGCACTTACACTAAACGACCACCGGTGCGCATTCACGCGAAGGCCGATGTCAGACTTTGCGAATCGCGCGATTCGCTAGCGTCTGCGGTCGCGTCGCGGCCAGTGAATCACTCAATTGGCTGGTACCGCAACGCGACCGCGGACGCTAGCGAATCGCGCGATTCGCAAAGTCTGACATCGGCCTAAAAGTCACGCGCTGCGCTTCGCTTCCCTACTTTCTTAAGATCCTTTGGCAGATTCCAATTCAGCATCCAAAGGCGCATATAGGATCAACCATCTTATTTCAAGCGGCCATGGTGACCTGAAGGGCTTTCTTTATAAGTCACCCTTCCCTTCTAGCAGTTTGTGCATAGAGGAACAGTTCCTGACGTCTATAGTGCTACTCATTTCTGCAGTAGAGGAGCCTAGACCTAGATCACTCCGAGTCTTCGAACAGGTTTCACAGAGCAATCCATCTGCGAATCCCATCCGCTATGGCAAACCAGTGGAAAATCATGAGTATGTAGAGAAGCAATGCAGGACTGCATGGGCTGCAGTTGTTGAGTGGCACTGTAAGCTCCCTAACAGTTTTTGATTCTTAACTGCTGTTTTTGACAGCACTTGGCCAAAAACTGGCAAGTGAGTATTCTTGTGTCGAAGGTAAGCTTTATTCTATAGAATAAGCACGGCAAGTGCGAAAATTGCTTCAGCAAAGATTCCATCACTGGTGATTCAGTGATAAAAATGGAATGGATGGTGCCCATCAGAGTGATGATGGTGATGATCGAGTCCATGATGACCGAAATGGTCGTGATCGCTAAATTCATGATGATGCCCGTCATGATCGTGCAGGTGGTGGTCTCCGAAATGGTGAAGTCCATGGTGTCCGAGGAAGTGGTCTCCATGGAGGAGCTCTCCATGGTAGTGTCCGTAGTGGTCTCCATGGTGATCATCATGATGACTGAAATGGTCTCCATAGTGGTCCCCGTTGTGCTCAGCGTGATGGTGATATCCATAAGGGCCGCCATGATGGTCGAAGCCATGAGAAAAACCTGAATATACATATGCGAATATACTATGTACCACATGACACTCACGGTGAAACTCCAGTTCGGGGGGGGGGGGTTGGTAACCTTTACAACTACTCTAGTGAGGATATAAAAACCAGATGAATAGTAATTACTCAGAGTTTTGTAGTAGTTAGAGAGCAGTGTATGACGTACACGATCTGGATCATTCAACGCACGATGGCTGGTTGCCCTCACATTCTGGGAACATTATGTGCGTGGTAATTGTCCAACACGGGCTTCTAACACGCCTTGCGCGCTATGAAAAGGAGTCCCTAACTCTAAGTGGCAGGACCATTTCATGACTAGTCAGGACCATTGTCCATGAACCACCAGCTGAGCCGAAAACTGAATGTACCTCAGGTATACTTCCTCCATTGAGCCGACTTATCAGAAGTAATAATAAATCGTGATTACGTGTCATGCAACTACTTGCCCTTGTCCCCTCTGAAGGCAAGATTCAAGCTTAAACTGATGAGGTAATTCTACTCAAATGTGATGTAGGGGCGGGAGGGTGACCGCCAGTGGAGAAAAAAGGAAGGAAAATCCTGAAATACACAGGAAATACGACCTTTTTGCTACGTTGCGGAGAAGTTCAAAAGGCCGGCAGGGAGATGAGAGATAATGTGAGCGCGGAGAGAGCGGCGAGCGGTAGAGAAATTCGAGAAGAGAGAGCATAGCAGATCAGCATTGCGACGCAGACAAAATATCGAGCGGTGGGCGGAGCGTGTCGCAACAGGAGGAGCGTGTCAAAGTCCTTGGCCCCTAGCGCCTTAGTGACGCATTTGGATGCGGGAACTTGGCGAGTCGCCTGCAGCTGCGTCCCATGCACTTCTAGCCACTTTAAGGGCTTATTAGGTGGGTCTGAGCCCGAACTTTGCCTTTAAGGACATACCGACTGGCGGTCAGCTCGCCAAAACCGGAGTTTCATCACTATCCACTCTCAGTTCTCCAATGAAAGAAAAACCATGCTTTTGTGATCATCAGTGAACTTCCTAAGCAATGCTTTTGAGAGAGCAAACATTCGAGAAGTACGACATTCAAATGGAAAATTATTGCATACCAAGATCGTGACCCATATCTTCGTGATCGAAGTGGTCGCCGTAGCCGAAATGGTGGAACATTCCTGAAAATACGGTATTCAACTATGTTAGGGTAATTCCACAAATTCTGGAGCAAACCGAGCGCTTTTGGATTTAATTTTGTCGCAACTATTTCTCTTCATTTATTTATTTCAAGAGCAACATTACAGGCGGCCAGAAAAAGGAGCACCCAGAAATGCTCATTACGCCCATAAGCATAGCCCCCGCATGGTGCCGTCGGCATGGAGCCTTCGGTAAAAAATTCCTAAAGATGAACATCTATTTCCAGACAAAACTCCTTCCCTCTCTCCGTCTTCAGAATATGACGAGCTCCAGAAGGCCATGGTCACCCAGCCTGAAGCTCTCTTCAACATTTCTTCAATCGGGTAGCCTAAGGTTAGCTTTGCCTAGTAGACAGGAGCCTGACTGTGCATTACCACTCCGATTCAAGCATTTCTAGTCACGTCGTAATGCGCGCGATCCGTTTTGAGGTCCTCCTGAAGCTCGACCCGGCGCCATGTTCTCGACAAATTTTTCTGACTGTCGCTCGCAGTGGAAGACATATTGAAATTCGATTTGCAGTAGCGAGTGCATTTGCTTTTTGATTGTCATATTATTATATCAGTTATTATCATATTATTATTCTTATCAATTATTATCACATTATCACGGAATCATTCGGTCTGAGATACTCGAAATGTTATTAGAACAGTCCTGAATTTGAAGGAATGTATCTCTTTTTTGGCCACCCGTGTATATCATCATAACCTACTACGCATTGCCCGTGCATGGGATAGTGGAAGAGGGAACGGGTGAAAACACCTTGTGGTCGTAGGTGATCGTGTAAATAAATGCGGACCAATCAAACCCAAACCAACACAAATGCAAATATCAAGCAGTTGGCAGGATAAGGCAGCTACTGTTTGCATATTCGAAGAACTGCTCACACGGCGAAATTGGGCCAGTTACACCACATGGTCACGATGCTTCCGGCCTTGCGAATAGAACCGTCAAAAAAACTATAGCCGTGTTTCGCCTTGATGAGGTCGAACGAATTTTAGCAGGCGGGGGGGGGGGCGTGGCAATTAGAAGAGACATTTTTGTCTCTACGTCCAGATGGATTTAGCAATCGACACTTTGCCCTCACTTCACTAGCACGAGGGTCCAACTTAGGTTTGAAAGAGACACATTTCGTTTAGTATAGAAAAAACATCCATCATTATGCTGCCGACATAGGGTGGATAACATCTAGGACGTAAGGTATGCATTTCCAGAATGGTTGCAGGGGCTCATCTCAATGTCCATTTATTATTTTTGTCTGTTTTTGTTTTGAACGATACTGTTTCTTTATTTTGAATTGCAAAATACATGCTTACTTTAAGCTACACACATATATTAGATGTAGGCCCTTTATCAGGACAATCCCAGTTGGGACTACAGAGAAAATTTAAAGGAACTTTCGTCCCCTAACCCTTCGGGGAAGCATACCTACGGCCCTGAATTTTGCTAAAAATTGGCTGCCCTGGTCGAGCTTAATGTGGGTTCTTTATGGAAAAGCGAGTTTCGAGGGGATTTGCATAGTGGGAGCTAATGCCTCTAGAAAACTATCCAACATTGAATCGATTCACGAAATTATGTAAGAGCTTCAGGCTGAAGCAGTTACGGTAGACCTCCTTGAGCCTGACGACGGTGACAGATGACGTCATATTCTGAAGACGGTGAGGGCAGTGAAGGAGGGCCTGCGTCACTTATAGAGGGACATTTAGGGAATACTTGCTGAGGAACTTCGTCAACGACGGCAATCTCTGCGAAGTTTTTCTCTGCGAATTTCTCTGCGAAGAAAAAAGGCCGAAGTGCGATATGAGCAAAATGTCTTTTTTTTGCCCCCCCCCCCTTCCGCACGTTCCGCTGATCGAACTTTTTTAGGCCTATAACACCTTGTCCAAATGGCATCTGCTAATTCTTAATGTAGTTCTCGTAGAAACATAAAAATGCCATGAAGCAAGAAATTTCTCAATAGCCGATCAATTCCAGCAGCGATTGACCAGGGTTTGCAGGCCATGAACACATTCCAATACCCCTGTGAACCTGTTTTATGGTCGGTGCAGTTCTTGCAGATTATTCAACGCCGCCAACCTACCCACGACCTCAGCGCTAACGTGCTATTTTGAGTCCTATCAAAATTCTTACCGCTTGCAGCGCAGAAACTGAGGATGTTGAAGAATAAGACAAGGGAAGGCGAACGAGGTACCATCGTGAGACTTAGGATGAGGCATTTCTGAATGCACGGCTTTTATCGCCACACTGTTGGTATTTAGGTCACTGCAGAGCACTCTGGTTACAGGTTTCTGCAAAACTACAGCCTTACACAAAGGTGTCAAAGGGGCTTCCGCTATGCAGCCTGACTGCTTTTTGCACTGATTCATTATCGTTACCACTTTATGAACTACGTACTGTCTATAATTCATCGTTTAGCATTGATACATTTGTTCGTTACTCGAGTGATCGAATCCTTCTTACTATGAGGAGATTCGCTGTTGCCTGTTCTGCATCTCTGCCACAAAAGTCGCTGCTTCCTTCAAATCCGATTGAGAGACCGGCCCAAGTATGGAATGACTGGGCCATGTCTCAAGAAGCCCAAAACAAACATTGGAGATCACTGAAACACAAGCTTAGGCCTGGTTTAGACCTGGACTTTTATGCCTACACTTTGGCTTATCCTAAAGGCGATGAGACTGGCCTCAGTCCTAAACTTGCTTCGATAAAATGAGTGCTGTCTCAGTTCCAGGTGATCTAACCTGAGGAAGAGAACTGTGACGCGCCCAGTGGACACCCGCCCACAGTGGGCGTGGCATGCATGGAAATGAGGTAGGAAGTCCGATTTTGGTTTCGAAACAGCCTAGAGACCGGGAAAATGTGTGCATTGGTAAGTCACATCGAATTAGGGAGACCCACCGGTGGGCGGGGCGTTCTCTAAAAAAGCAGTGCTTTATGAAAAATTTCATAACTCGGTTGGGAGAAAGCCTACAGAGCAGAAAACAAATTGGTGTAGGGAGCAATGTCTAAGGTGTTTCCAGCATACATGACGTGGCGGAGGCCCGCCCACAATGGGCGGAGCGTGTCTTGAAATGGAACCATTCACATTCCGGGACACACTCCGTTTACAGCATGACTTACAGGACTCCATAATTCGCTCACAGAAGTCTTAGAAAGCGGAAAACAGGTGGATAGAGATCAGAGAAGGAGGTGGTTAAGCGCTGATAGTGGGCGTGGTGTACGCCAAAGTGGGCGGAGTCTGCCTCCTATGGCTTATAACTTTGTTTCAAAATGTCCCGGAGACCGGGAAAAGTTGAACAGAGATGAATGTACGGGAGGGATTTCTGCTATATGGCCATTTTCTCCATGGAATTTGCATCCCACTCTCAGAAGGTTACTGTAGGAGTGTGAACGAATGTTTAAAAATGCTTTTTTTCCAACACCCACTTATAAATATACACAGAAACAGTTTTCTAACTTGTGTAGAGAAAACAATGAGATCAAGAGCAAAATTCTATGTAATACCCGACTATGATTTCTAAGCATACAATCTTCAACAAAGATATCTATAAGTTGGTTATTTGGAAATGTCGCCTATATTTGTTACATTATTTGGCACTAAAACGTTTTACAGTGATAGTGCACTGAGGTGAACGAGCGTCTTTTGGCGCACACAGCGGCTTATTAGATATTGATAAAGTATTTTTCTTAGCCAAAAATGTTGCTAGGTAGTTTTCCATCAAAAAGTCGTGGCTGCTCGTGCGTTACAACAATGGAAACGGCTACTGTAGCTCACCGTCTCCTATGCGGAATGTTGCGCAGTGAAGCGCCCTATCGTAGCAGCCCTATTGTAGCAGGCCTTGCAATGAATGCTACGTTCCCCAAAGTAAAGCCAGATGCCCCGAAGATGAAAATAATGAAAATCGTATTGAAATTGTGACTAATGAAAAACCTAGGAAGACCATCGAGCGAAAGTGTTCACGATAAGGAATCTTCAGAGTGATTGGCGCACCGCTTCTAGCGCTGAAAGTGATTCACAAGTGACTGGTAATGTCGACTGGTGCAACTGATGGGTCTTACAGCTGTTAGTCACTCCATGAGGTAGGTGTCAGACTCGGCGATTCGCAATTGGCGCTTGCACTTCGCCTTATTAATCCGTGTGTGATTCAAGGGGTACCCGACAGGAGGCCCGCCGCGCGACTACAAGGCAGAGTCAGCGGACGAGTCGCAGCGCGTACTGTAGGATTTCGCGTCAAGTTAAATAGAATGTACCATTGTACGTCCTACATCACGCGCTGCGACTCGTCCGCTGACTCTGCCTTCTTGCCGCGCGACGGGCCTCCTGTCGGGTGCCCTGATTCGAGAACGTGGAATGTTGCATGAGCGACACTGTCACTGTCGCGATTGTGCATTCGCCGAGTCTGACACCTATTTGTGCGTAGCAAATTCGCCCAAACAGACTATCTGGGTAGAGAGGTTCCGCCTTAGATCAGAGCCGAGCAACTACTACTTACTCCAGTGAGTGCAGTCCTCTCCAAGTAAAAAGTTCAATAATCGGTGCCAAAAATTGGGGTGTCAACGTTTTCGAGTCAAATCCGAGAGAATGTTTTGGAGCAAGTCTCCATCCTTACTCTACCCAGTAGATGAAGAGAATTCGTCAAATGAATTGAGAATATAAGCATTTTCGACTGAGGTGCTTCA